TATACACACACTGAATATTATATCTATTCACATATCCTTCCTTATCCTGCTAGAATTATTTTGAACAGTATGGATTAATACTATAGTTAAATGAACATTAAGTACTTATGCATGCACTTATAGACTCACACAACTTTACAACAGCACTGCAGGCAAGCAATGTATGTATTCAGGCATGCACTATAATATATACAACGTCTCGAGATAGCAGTGTAGCATGCAGACTCTCACGCATACACTGAACCACACACCTGCACCACGGCACATCTCAGGTGAGGATAGAGCAGCTCCAACTTTTGTCGCAACCACATATCACGTGGAGTGTCAGGCGTGACCTGCTCTGGTGGCTCTGTGGTTGCCTTTGACTCAGTCTGTTCGGTGCACTCCTCCATCCACGACACATCTGCGGAGCTACTACACTTTGATCCTCGTCCTGTTGAAAAAATCTATCATATTATTGCCACCTGGGAATTACTCACTCAGAGATGGAGAGAGAGGAATAGACTGAGAGAGAGGGAGAGAGAAAGGAAGAAAGAAAGAGATGGTTAGAGAGAGCTAAATATGCAAGCATGAAACCCCTATGTGTAGTGACTGTGAACCCATTTTCCGAAATCAGTAAAAAAATTATCGTTACAACTTCGCAAGATGCGCTCTAGACCTATCAATATTTCGCTTTACGTTTATAAATCATTATTTCACTTTCATAGTCAATAAATGCTCGCATGAGCTGGACAGCTCTTATTTGCTAAAGCTGCAACTCCGTTGCTCACTGCTAATTATAAGAAGTCTAGTAAGCCGTACCCGTGCTTTTGGCCGTGTCACTCTTCTCATCTGCAGATTGCTGTCTTGGAGACTGCACTGTCACTGGTAAAACCGGCACAGCGCGGGGTTGATAACCCAAGCTGCTGAACAGTAGTGGGTCAATGCAGGCAACTACCCCTGCCAGCTTGAATTCTAGCACTGCAACAGCTAGCAGAAAATGACAGATTTACTTAAATCAGCCAGCCAAACAGAACCCTACCAAATATCAATGCAGGTATTCTGCTTAGGTGAAACACTGACAGTGAAAGCCACTTCTGCAGTGTACTTACATTCAAATTACATTGAATTTGGCGTTTTAACGATGCATTAGGGTCAATCATGCAGAATTTACTTCAAGTAACTTAAAGTATGTACAAAAGGCATATTAAATAGATTCTATGGAACACACAGATTATCAAGACCATTCCATACTAATACTATAGCATGACCTGATTGGAGACTATAGGTCAATTAAAAACAAGTGTGGTTGGATGTGACCTGATTAACCTATCGAAATGCAGGAGAAGATTTGATCAACTTTAATGACTTTTTACCCTAGGGTAAATTATTTAGCTTACATATATCAATGTGTCATGTATGCCATGATTGCAATTGTTTCTGTATCACGTACTCACCACCTAAATGATTGAATGAATTACTTCGAGTAAGGTTAACCATAAAAGTAATTGCCAACTAGAAATTATATTCTTGCTCGAAATTAGTTAGCAAGTCGCACAGTGACACTGCTGCCAATAAATAGAATAGCTTTTTTACCATACTTAATTTCCTGCATTCCAAGATGAATAATACGTATTATTACTGTCAACTGTCATTGCTTCCTACACAACAGCAGGATAAGTCTTTGTCTTCCTTACAGAAAGCATATAATAAATAAATCGCACAACCATGAGCTTTCATATAGTTTTACATGGGAAATCTTACCATCACAACTCCAATCTAAAGGAGCTTGTACGACAGCAGATAAGCAGTCTTCTGTAGGGTCCCAGTTCAGCTCTTCTACTGCAGCATCATCAGCATCAGAAGTTAATGGTTTGTCTGTTATCCAAACAGAGCTGTGTGCCTGTTTTGTGTTGGCTGGACTCTCTAAGACTGGCACCGAGTTTACAGTTGTTTCCTGGTCTGTAGTAAAAGTTCCATGTGATTAGATGGATTAGGATTGGATTAGCAGACATGGGTCATACTACAGTCTGAGAGGGATATCTCAACATACATAATCTAGGTGAAGGCAGGAATAAAGCAGACATGGGTAATTTAGGACGGAGTAAGAGAATCAGCACGCATGCATTCCCTATGATGAGGGTAACTATGAGAGCAGACATTTTGGTACAACCAGACAGCAAAAAAATGCTCAACCTTAAAAATGCTAAGGATAAAAAGTTATGAAATCAGGCATGGATCACCTTTAGTTAGGATGGGAAGAACGCAGGTATGTCTCAATCTAGGTAAAAATAAAACAGGGATTGATCATTTAATTCCATTCACTTTGTCGACACGACAGCCGACACTTGGTCGACAATATTCCGTGCCTATACTACCACTCCATGCAATATATTAACTATCCTTATTTCAACAGAACAGCTGTATGATGCTGTGCTACGGAACCACTAAAATTACTAAAGGTAAACAACATGGATATCATTTCTATATAGAGGACAAGATAACGGATTAAACAGATGCGTGCTGCAAGACGTCCTACCTATTAAAAATTCTAAAAAGTAAAAACCAAGTGTTACATACCATTCAACATGAGCAGCACAGCAGCCTGACTAACAGTGACTCCGTAACACTGCAGCTGCGAGGTAGCAGTATGCCTACCCGCGATCCCCACCAGGGCAGTGTGCAGCTGCGGCCAATCACGCGACATGGCATCAGCCAACAACGAGTCCTTGCTCCACATATCAATGTCCGGCGCACGCTGTTGCCACGACAGCGTCAGTTGCCGTAGCAACACGAGCTGTGGAACAGACAGCTGAAGCCTCAAACATGAAGCTTCGAGCTGAGACTCCGTGAGCGGCTGCGCCGGCGACGAAAAGTACATCGGCAGCAGTAGTCTCTTCGTGTAGATGGCGCCACTGCTCTTCGGCACGACGACGCAGGAAGACTTGACGGGGCGCGCCGGGTCGAACTCCGTGAGACTGGCCTGAAACTCGAACAGATTGTACTGCAGGTGCAAGTTGCAATGGTGGAGCAGGTCGGGAGACGGTGGCGCCATCGCGCTGACCACGGCGACGACCCTCCTCGCGTACATCGGCCTCTCGCGCTGCACCTCGACCCGCGAAGCCTCGAGCAGCAACGCCGGCACGCCACACGACTGGCTCCTCCTCCTCCTCCTGCTCCTGCTCCCGTCTTCCTTCTCCCCCCTGTCCCGCCGCTTCTTCCTCGGCCGCGCGCGCGGCTTCCCCTCACAGCGTTCGTGGTCGGCGGCCGGCACGAGCACCGTCGTCCGCAGCACGGTGAGGTTCGCGTTCTGCAGCGGCGTGAACGTGAGCAGCGCCGCCACCTCGCCCGCCTCCGCACCCTCCCTCGCCGGCGGCGGCGCCTCCTCGGGTGCGGCGTCGACGTAGGGTTCGTAATCGTGGCTCGCAGCGGCCGCCAGGAGGCGCTGGACGCGGTGCACGGCGTCGCTCGACACGACGGCGCTCGTCGGTCCGAAGAGAACGCGCAGGCTGGACAGCTCCTGCAGGTTGCTGTGCTCGAGGTCGCCGAGATCTATCTCGATGTCTTCGTCGGGCAATCGCATTCCGTAGCAGTAGTCCAGCCAGAACGCGCCGAATCGCTCGACGGCCAACTGCTCGGTGAATTCTTCCAGGTGGCGCTCGTGCGTCACGGGAAGCTCGCGCGTGATGCGCCCGGCGACGTCGAAGAGCGACCGCAAGAGATAGTTGTAATCCTTATCGCTAGTGTGTTGCTCGGCAACCTTCAGGAAGCACGGATCAAGCACCATGTTGTCAGTGTCCACAAAGGACCTGTCGCCGCAGCTACACTCACCCTTCGACAACAGACGTCCGCTCGTGATGCCTATTTGCAAGTTGGTGAATTCTAAGCCCTTGATGACCATTTCTACACATCCAGCTTCTAGCTCCATGAACAGAAATGGCCGGAAGAACGTTTTTGGCGTCCCGAAGAGGGCACCACTTTCCACGATCTCGGTCAGCTTAAAGAGTATGGTCGCCCTGGCAACGTAGGCTCCAAATATAAAAGTAGCCGGAGAGAACCTATGACTCGTGTCCGGCTGGCTACCGTTGTCATCGTCATCTGTTGGGAGTATAGCAGGGACGTACGAGTACACCCAACCGGCCCAGCCCTGGTCCTTTGTTGCCAGCTGCTCCTCTAATTCTGCAATAAATGCAAGTAATAAAGCATCTCAGGACTCATTCAAGGAGGGAATAAATGGACATATCCATTGCTTTACTAACACAATGTGGTGCAAAACGAATAGTTGCGAAAAAAAGACGCATTGGCGAGGAACTATTAATCTATTCTGATTCACCGCACAGCAGTTCTATGAATCCGTTGCCACGGTTACCTTGCAACTGCGGAGGATGCTCGTGCTTCTTCTCGGCGAGTTCCTTCTCGATCTCGCGCTTCCTCAGCTGGGCGGGAAGCAGCCCGTAGTACATCGCGACGACGAGCTGCGTCAGGCGAATCAACATCGGCAGCTGCGCGTCCGAGACGGAGAACTGCAGCTCGTCGCAGTGTAGATTCACCGCGGTGACGACGGGCGCGCGCGCGTAGTCGCCGTCGTACTGCATCAGCATGCGGCACGTCAGCGAGCACTTGTAGATGAGCGGATCCTCGTACGCCTCGATCTTGCCGCTCGCGTTGCGCCGGTCGAGGCACAGCGTCAGGTCCGACATCGTCACCAGGCGGCGCAGGCACGGCGGCTCGCCGGCGACGTCGATGAAATCACGCGCCCAGTCGGCGTTCGCCGCGCAGCTCTCCGCCGACTTGATGTTGAGCGAGAGCACGATGTCGTCCTCGACGTACTTGAGGATGAGGTTGGTGACGACGATGCTGACGTTGTTCGTGATGCGGCCGATCATGCCCTGCACGTAACCCGGCGCGGCCTCCTGCGAGCCCGCCGCACGCAGGTTGCGCCGCTTGTACTCCGTCAGATTCTGCTGCGAGCCGGACGACTTCACGCTGTCGGAGTCGCTGCCAGGTTCGTCTGCAAGAAGCAATGCAAAGAGTAAGCTCGGCGTTGTCTTCGTCGCTTCCAGCTTCAATTGTGAAATTATATTGCAAAAAGTATCGTGTTCCAGGTATCGCTTCCAGCTGCATCTGCAAAAATAACGTTTTCTGCATATCGCTTCTGGCTTCGTGCACAAAAAGTAACATGTCTTGTGTTTCAGGAGATCGATAGAGCTGTTATCAGTGATTGACTTATTTATTTATTTATTTATTCATTCACTCAATATTTAGGCAGGGACATCGCGCATCAGTGCCAGGAACTTTTCCCCCCAGAGACCTGCATCACGCACCTGGATCGGCAAGCTTGAGAATGCATTCTATAGTGTTGATGGACACGACGACTGGCTCAGAGCCAAGCTTTGTCCATGGCACGTGGATGCGCAGCTCGTGAATGTGGCCACTGAGGAAGGTGAACGGCAGTCTAAGCTCCTGTTCCAGCACTTCCAGCTTAAGGTCGAGGTTGTTGAGAACCAGGTCGCCCTCCCACACCTGCAACACCACCGCAGCAGATAAACACGTGCTGATCGGCACGTGCATGTGGGTCTTGCTAGTCATGCGCCTTTTATATATATAGTCATTAGTCCCACTTTTGCACACACGCACGCATGCACACATGCACATATAGTTATGAATACATATTTATAAATATATTCATAACTCGATCTATATGGCAACCCTGTCACACACAACCATTCACACACACAGCGCGTATTTGGAGCTAGTGCTTTACAGAGGAAGAAGTTATGGATAATGAATACATTCACGAGCTAGATAAGATGGCAAGACATGTTCACCAAGCCAAATTACATTCATTGCGGTGTGTGTACTCACTGAAAGCTGTAGATCTTCAGGTTTGAGGTTTTTGATGTACTTGTCAACATAGCTGAGAAGTAGTGGGGTGACATATGACTCCAACTTAAACATTTTGGTTATCGTTGTCTCAGCTGAAAGAATGTGTTGAGTAAAACAATGTCGGCACTTTCATGATACGTTCATTCTACTCCTAGAAAATAAATCACATTTCCCCATTGACTTGCATTATATAACTGGAGATGCGTTCCTATGGAAGTCTTTCAGCTAAAAGATCTACTAGAACTAGGGAAATTATGAATGCTTGCCCACATTTGTAAACACATATTGATTCTTTCATGATGTAACACAGTATCTTGATAATAGCTGTGAAGGAAATGGGGTTCGTAATTAGTAAAGTCACTCCGAGGGTGTCAAATGCGAACTATTATCAGCATATCAGTTTTGCTATCACAATCAGTCATGTTTTACGCTCTGACCTGGAAGTCAAAAGTTATCAAAAGTTGGCAGTGATTTATGGTCAATATTCTCCAGTTTAAAATGATAACATGGGGGAGCTACCGGGAAGGGTTTTACTTTCGTTCTCCCCTCCCTGGCACCCGTCACCCCTACGCAGCAATAAACATGCTCCGCACATGACATCACTTCGCACCACAGAAACAATCGGGCCCGTACATCAATCAACACCGCTGCTGGTCATACATGCATGCACTAGCGGCAAGCGCGGCACACGCTGGCTATCTGTAACACCCGGGCCGCTTGTGATTACACGTTTGGACACTGCAGGACATTTGCGGTGCACGTCTGCCAAATTTTCTTAGAACATTTGCTGGAAAAATACGGTAATTCCGCGAGGCCGTGCTCTGGAACCAACTGGTTTCATTTAATTTTCAGGGAGTCACACGGACTCCCGCATATGTGAAACAGGAATCGAAATAAGCGATGGTCCGATGGTCCATAAATTCCAATGATCCATGGTCCATAATGGTCCATAATGGTCCATAAATAAATCCGATCAAATAATCAGGAGGACCATCAGATTTTCAAAGTAAATGGTCCGACGGACCATTGAATATTTTGGTCCCATTTTACGATAATTTTCTTTGAAGTTTCGACGTTTCGATTATTGCTAATCCAGTGTTGACCATAGAAAATATTTGGCATGATGTAACAATGAGAACAATTTGAAATTTATTTTATTTATTTATTTATTTTATTTATTATTATTTATTTTATTGGTCCCATTTTATGATAATTTACTTTGAAGTTTCGACGTTTGGATTATTGCTAATCCAGTGTTGACCATAGAAAATATTTGGCATGATGTAACAATGAGAACAATTTGAAATTTAGGAAGACCATCTAAAATTTCAAACTAGATGGTCCTGTGGACCATCTCTTTCTTTCTCCTTATTTCTACCCCTGGTCAAATCAGGGAGTCCGACAGTAAATTAGGGAGTATTTGACTCCGGACTCGCGTTAATTTCGCACCCTGTACTATCATAATATACCCTAAAATTCTACGGTGTTGTATCCATTTAATGTATGTACATATGCACGACAAAGTATATGCATAATCCGAAACCTTTATATTCGCATTTCCTAATTTTTTGCATAGACAAGATGAAACATGTTCAAACTTCGCATTTATTCTTTTAACTTAGGGAGTCTACTAGTAGTTTTTAATCAGGAGATTCAAACAGAATTCGGAACCCCTTTTACATTCACATTGTACAGTACAATTAAATTTTATCTCCTATTTCCATGGAACCGGAGCGAGGAGCCTACAGGGAGAGAGCTGCAGTTACCAGGGTAGGTTCCGGTATACCGGACCGTACCCAGGGTACGTTCCGGCAGTACCCTGGGGGACATAGACCCTATGAGCACTACTACTAATACTACTAGTACTACTACTACTACTACTACTACTAGTAGTAGTAGTAGTAGTAGTAGTAGTAGTAGTAGTAGTACTACTACTAGTACTACTACAGGGTTCTCCCTACGTTGCGCAAACGGGGCGCGCGCGCCCCGTTTGGGAAAACTCCCCCCTGTTTGAATCGTTGTGCCCCGTTTTGCAATTACCTCCGCCCCGTTAAATTCCACCACAATAAAAGTTTGCCAGCGCGGGAATCGACCGTCAAGAATGCCGTTCGACCAGGACACCCGACGCAGTGTATTTTACCGTACCACGCATGCACTGCAGACAGTACACAAGTTACCTGACAAGCACAGTTAACCTGTAACTAACTGTAACCGACTCGGCTCTCTATAAATACAAGAACCCCCAATACCGTCTATGTGTGGTGCGATTATACGCATTATAATAGTCGTACGGTAAATAAACACGCCCCCCGAGACCCCCCTAGTTCTCCCCTCCCCCCTCCCCCTAGTTTCCCCCTCCCCTCTCCCTCCCCCTGTTTGAATTTCATCCTGGGAGACCCTTACTAGTACTAGTACTTAGTGCTGATAGGGTCTAGTCCCCCAGGGTACTGCCGGAACGTACCCTGGATCTAAATACTACATCTAATATGCCGGACCGATACTCGCCTACTCCACTAACGAGTCAGGGACGCCTACGACTACTCCCTAACCCTAACTCAACCTAACCCCTCACCATATCAGCTAGACGATCTGCCGCCCGGATATCCGCGCGGAGGCGCGCGAAAACCCGCGCAGCGTGACAAAAACCTATTCCTGGCCTATTAGAAAAATTTTGGGCACGCCCTTTGGGTACAGAATAAACGTATAACGTCATTGAGGAGTTGTGCGATTCCACAGCCTTTCACTTGCACGTAGCAGAATAAAATACAAATCTGGTAATTGCTCGTTTGCTCGGTCGGCCGTTTTGATTTCTCTAGAAAAGCGAGTTTGCATTTTCGTTCTCACGCCCTGATTTTATTCTCGACATAGGCGTGTCCATAGATTGGCCGCACGAGGCCCTCTGAGGGATCTTCAAGGTATTTTTCACAATAAGGATCGGTCGATCAACTGTAGACTGCTCCGGCGGTGTGGAGAGTCCACACGCTTCACTACATAACTTTAGTGTCGGCGAAAGAATACTTGGCCGACGTTAAGGTCCGTACCAGTCTACCTCGAATCCGTACGTTCGATCAAATTGTAAGTAGCCATATATCCCCCGACTGATTGGCTAAAGCCCGTTGAATTGATTTTTTTAGCACTGAGAATTTCCACTAATTTATCTGAAAACGCCTGGCTGTCCGTACTTGCGATGGTCATAACCTCACTCGACCCCAGCCTGCCCGTGGACAAGCGGCGCACGTGCTGGCGGCCGTGGCAGTTTTAACTACGAACGCCTAACAATACTGCCGCACACGACACACAAATTATATATTAGCACATCGTTACGAACAGGGCGGAGCGCGGACATTCCAGCCACTCCTCCTCCCCGCTGCTCACGTGCGGCCAGGCACTGCGTCCCCAAATGGCTAATCCTCAACAAACGCTGGCCCGGAGCTTTTTGCGCGCGCGTGATTTTCGTAGTAAAAGATTGTATTTATTAGCATTACATTTTTATTGAAACGCGCAAGTTCATAGCTGTGCCTGCGCGGCAGCCATTGATGCATGTATAGTAGATACCTATTAACCCGTGCGGCAGAGCGAAGCGAGAGAGAGAGAGAGAGAGACAGACCGTGGGAGTGCGAGAAAAGAAAAGAGATGGAGAACGCCAGATAAGTTAGCGAAAATTACGGACAGTACGGATACAAACGGCGAGAGTACAAAGCGCGTGTCAATCTAAAATCGTAAGGCCCCCCTCCAAAAGCCGATGTAGCCGAGCCGATAGTACGTTCCCGAAAACGCGCGATGTAGCTGCCCGCTATACTTCATTCGCGCCCCCGCCTTCCATTCAGCGCGCGAATTCGTATAGCGAGCGCGATGATGCTACATACTAACACCGCTCGCGGTCGTGGTGCGCCTCCAGGTCCCCGCGAAGCGTGCGCGGCTTAACCGCTTTCGGCGTCGGGAACAACCATCTTGCCAAACGCCCATCTTTTGTACCCGGTCCCTCTCGATAGTTACCAGGTACGTTCCGGTATATTCCGGCCGTACCCAGGTAACGTCCCGGCAGACCCTGGGGACATAGACCCATATGAGCAGTACTATACTAGTATAGTATAAGCTTAGAGTAGTACATCATATACCAACAGCTACCATAATGGAGCGTTTCAATAATTTTAATATAAATGCAGAATAAATAAAAAATCTATTACAAAATACCACCAAAGCTTAATTGTTTCATATACTCTCTTCAACCTACTATTCGACAATTTCCTGTAAAATGCCGTCCACAACCATGTCAACAAACAAACACTGGCGGCCGCCATTGCCACGCTGCACACTGACACTGACACAATGACTCTAGACTATATGACATATACTTATTACGCCAAAGGTACGGTTCACACACCCATGCGAAGGTTTTAACGTGGGTTCAAATACGATTTGGCCCTATTAGTATTATCTATACTATTAGTTACTAATAGTAATAGTAAGACTATTACTATTAGTATTAGTAATAGTAGTATTACTACTACTACTACATTTCAAGTCCACCGACTTAATAATAATAGCGCTTATTAATCACGCTTTTTAGTATCGTCTCAATTAAATTTAGTCACTCGCACTGCTTAACATTTTGCAGTAACGTATGATATGCGTCATTTACCGTAACATCTTGTTCACAGCAAAATGCTTGAACGTATCATGTTGTCAACGTCAACATTTGTTTACTAATGTCATGCACATAATCGTATCCTCTATCTCGTCTATCCTGGTTCCCATCCTCTGTTCACTGTTTAGAAAGACTAGTAGGACCGCCTAAACATCGAAATGACTCGAACCGAAATGCACCTCTCGGAATGATTTGAAATCAAACTAGTTAACTACTTATATAGGCAAGCCTAAGCGCGGAGCTCCCAATAAATATATAGATATATATATAGATATATACCTACACTTGAAAACTCGAAATGTCTCAGAATGTCTCGAAATGACTCGAAATTCACGTAATTAACTCTCGAAAAGAGTACAAATTTGTAATTATTAAAGGCCTCCTTTAGTGATGAAAAATAGTTACATATATCAAATTAACTATGTTATGTACAACTACTGAGAAATTTACAGGTTGAATGGTTTTCGGGTGTATGAGAAAAAAATATTTTTTGATGTTCACAATGTAAAGAATTTGCTGGAACGCAAAAGCGCCCCCTATCTTTTCGCGTGACGTAGTGTGACGTCAGGCGAGGCACTCGCGCTTGTTTACCCGTTGCCAAGCGTGTACAATGTAGCCTAATGTGAACACCGATTCAGAGTCGTCTCTAGACTTATCAGTTTCGTACGATACGGATAAACAGTCAATCAGCATTGATGAAGATGAAAATGAAGTAGATATAGACAATGAAGTGGAACATGTTGAAGATAGTTGTATTCAGCCGTACATGTTTGAGCCATTGGCCAACGATTACCCGGCCATCGTTCATGATGATGTTCAAGGCAACGTCGAACCAGAAGGAAGACTGCAATTAAGTGTTGCTGAATGGTGAGTTTAGCTCAGTATTTCATTGTAATTTGTAGGTACTAGGTGCACAAAATGAAATGCTTTTGCTTTCGGTACAGGCCAAATAGGGACGGCGGCCGTGTGGCCCGACTCAATATGTCTATACGCACGGCGGTCGTGTGGATAAGATTAAATATGGCTATATGCACGGCGGCCGTATGGCCGACTCAATATCGCTAGGAATGAGGAAGGGGAGAAGGGAGAAGCTGGTGGAGAAGGAGGAAGGGGAGAAGGTGGTGGAGAAGGAGGAAGGGAGAAGCTGGTGGAGAAGGAGGAGAGGGAGAAGAGATCGAGGTGGTGGAGAAGGAGGGGAGAAGCTGGTGGAGAAGGAGGAGGGGGAGAAGGGAGAAGGTGGTGGAGGAGGGGGAGAAGCTGGTGGAGGAGGAGGGGAGAAGCTGGTGGAGAAGGAGGAAGGGGAGAAGGTGGTTGAGAAGGAGGAAGGGAGAAGCTGGTGGAGAAGGAGGAGAGGGAGAAGAGATCGAGGTGGTGGAGAAGGAGGGGAGAAGCTGGTGGAGAAGGAGGAGGGGGAGAAGGGAGAAGGTGGTGGAGGAGGGGGATAAGGTGGTGGAGGAGGGGGAGAAGCTGGTGGAGGAGGAGTTTTTTTTTCAACCGATTATGCAACTGTACGTAACTTTAGCTCCAAGAAACTGTATTGCTAATGCTAGGGTTAGAATACCCCTAGTATTCACAATGTATAGCCAATCCGTCGCACAGCCTGGTCGGGCTACTGTAACTTGTAAGATTTCTCATTCTACTACTGACTTTATAATTATAGTGACTAATTATAAAGCAAATAGCCAATAGTGGTAAATGTTTTAGCGTAGTGGAAATTATGACAGGACTTACGTAGAATTTATGCAGTAATATTAGTAATAATATTATTTCACGTGTAAATTGAGCATTTAGTTCTTGACTCTTGTATTGTAAGAAACTCAGTGTATATACATAATACAGTATGAGTATAATAATTAATATATATATGCATGTAGCGTTTAACCCTGAGGTCAGTTGAAACGTAGGTTGGAACCGATTTTATTGTCTGAGTATTAATGTGGTTTAATCCGGTAGTAAAGTCTACAATGCATATAATATTATATATATATATATATATATATATATATATATATATATATATATATATATATATATATATATCATGCTCATAATAATTAATATGACAGTTGGATGTTTATGCCGAATATGAGTCACGACATACTGCAAAAAGTTTCTTTACACAAAAACACTTATTTGGCATATGTACAATTTCAGGTGTAGCTGCAACAATTGTGTTGCAATGCCAACAGCAACTGAGTGTGTGTGCTGCAAGGAAGTGGCACAGGTCATTGCCAAGTGTGAGGAAGCAGACCAGGCACTAGGCTGCATGACATTACACCCAGGATTCCAGGCTGTGGCTTTAGACCCATGGAATCTCCAGGCAGTGTATTATGCCTATCGCCAAGAATATGGGGACATGCATGAGCGCAATCAACATGAGTGAGTATTCATTTGCTAACCATTTACCTTCTAGCACAAAAGCTTAATAATACTTCCAAATTTCATGGGATTGTGCATCAGTTGCAGTTTTAAAACTGGTATTTAATTTTGTTTCCATAAACATCAACATTGATAAACATTATGTAACATTTACAATGTTCTTTGTTTCAGGCAATACAGATATGCAGCCTATAGGCATTTTGTTCGCTGGTGTTGGGGATATTTAGGGAAAAATTTTCGAGTGGTGCTCCCTGCTTGTGTTGTGCACGCAATACGCGAAAGATTTACATCCGACGAATACTGTGGATTCAAGTTGCCATCATTAGACTAACATCCCGGAATAGATGCCCGCGTCATCGTTGGCCAATGGCTCAAACATGTACGGCTGAATACAACTATCTTCTACATATTCAACTTCATTGTCTATATCTACTTCATTTTCATCTTCATCAATGCAAATTGACTGCTCATCCGTATCGTACGAAACTGATAAGTGGCAATTACTAATTTGCTCTATTTTACGATGGAAATGTATTTTTAATCAAAGAATAGAAATATACCAACAAATATTTACTAGAACTGTAATTTTTTTTCCATACAAATATATAGTTCATTGCGCTGCTGGCAAACCTGCGATAGAGGAACCGCTTAAGGCGGCCACACACGAGGCGACCTTTCGTCGCTAGCAGCACGATAACAAATCTCTTGTGATTGCCACAAATGTTGCAAAACATGCGCACACTAGGCGATCGATGGAGACCGACACCGATTGCGTCGCCGAAATATATCAATAATAGAAAACATCTGCTACCTAATGCATTTCACCTAAGTATCTATTTAGAATACAATAACAAAGTGCCAAACATGTAACAACATTTAACTTTACTATTTTTATGTACCTAAAACTATAACATACTCAATGTGAAGGCATGCACATTATGATGATTACAACAGCTAACTGAAATATATACACTATATACACTATATACACTATATAATACACTATATACTAGTCATCGCGCAAGCTCGTTGTCAATGGTCGTGTAAATTTCATAATCGAGTCATCGGTTGGACCCAAGTAACCGATGATCGGTTACAATCGGTTACTCGGGTGTTGAATGCCTGCGTGTGCGTAACGTCGTGTGCATGTACGTGTTGTGCATGTCATGTGCTTGTTTAGCCCTGTTTACTGTTGTTTTGCACTGTTTACTACTGTGTGTATAATACATGTATGTTAATAAAGGATAACTTGTATAGTAGCGATGATATCTCTTCTTTTTTTTCCGATGAAATCGATTATGGATTTTGATAACCAAGCACTTGGTTCGAGCCACTGTTCAACCGATGATCGAGTATAATCGATGATCGTGACATCACTACTATATACACTGTACACACTGTGGAATCTGGGGATGTGCAAGCTGCGAGCTGGGAAAAAACAATGCATCCAAGCGAACAATGCGATTCAAATTAGAAATGAATTAGAAATTCGACTGAAATTTACAGCTAATTTACACCATAGTAGACGTCACGTAAACCACTGTCACTTTGCAGCATTTGTTTACGTTTTGCGCATGAAACGTGAGTGTATTGGCAGCTGCTACGTCTTTGTCTGGCCGAGCATACTGTGAACACACAGAAGCTGGTACTTGTATGCTGTTGAAGAGGTCCTGGTAAGACTGCGGGTGTTCCACAACTTGACAGAGAAGCTCCAGCAACGTCGGAATGTAATCTGCAAAACACATTGTTATGATCCCAAATGAAGCATTAGTAACATTCATAACCATAGAATCATTGTTAACTTCATCAACGATTCTTTACTGTGTGTAAGTGTTGAATTACTTGGACAGGTCATATACTGAACAATACATGTATTACTTTTTATTTCTATACATATCACAACAACGTTTGCAAACGTTTACGAGCATTTGTGGCTGCATAAATGTATTGTCAGTCTAGTTTATGTTTCTGATATATCTACTAGTATGTCTGTATGTCAGTTGGGGACAGATTTTACTTTCATACTCTTAGAAATTATCTGGAAATTTATGCTGAAATTTATGAAATTAATGAAATTTATGGGGGGCCCCAAATGTGGGGGGGGGCAACCGTGCCCCTGTTGCCCGCCCTTTAATCCGCTAGTGGCCATTACTCATTAGTAAAACTAGCACTGAGAGTGACAAAATAAATCAAATGTACTGCTTACGAATCTTAGGCTAGTACTAGTAGTAGTAGTAATTTAACCTACCTTTCTCAAGATAAGCCTCTTTACCAAACCCATTTCCACTTGCATATAGTTTTCAAACGCTTCATTTGTAAAATGTTTGCTACAAACGTGAGCAGAAGACGACGAAAGGTTCTTCAACGTCTTGCTATCCCACTTTCGTGTGCTTTTGACGAACTGTACCCACTGACGACGTCTAGCATAGTCGTTAGGGAATTCATGTAGCGACACAAGTTGACCTGACGTGTTAGAACATCCGTACACAACACACCGGTAAACCATAATACTTTCAAGTTGTATTGTAAGTTATATCTTGGTTATATATTATAAGCTACAGTCGAGGATCGCTTTGTGCTCATGGCAGTGATGGCAGGCTTTGTGTGCGATGCAACACGGGAAAAACCTAGCCTGACCGT